CGGGGACAATGGGGGAAAAGGGGGGACATCCGTAATACTCTCAATAATAAAGATTTTTGAAAAAATAAAGAAGGGGGCTTCAGGGTCAGCTATGTGCAACCCCCCAGCACAGCACAGTGGGCTGTGGGAGGGAAGGGTAGAGGAACAGGTGATTGGGCAGGCGAGGCCTGAGGATGCTGCGTGCAGTTCCCTTAGCTGCAGCTGCAGGCCAGAAAAAGGCTCTAACAAAAACCAAACCAAACCCAAAAGGAGCAGGGTCGGGTGGAATTTGACTTCTGTTGAAACAAAGCGAAATGTAAAGCACTTGGGGCCTAGTTTTATCCCTCTACTTGACCTGAGCTAGGTCCCTGACAACCAACAAAGCAAAAAGCCTCCCCCAGGGCAGTCTGCTCAGTCTGTCGCTGCGGGGAGGGGAGGGCGGGAGAGGGACCGGAAGGGTATTTTAAAATCACAGCAAATGAATCCAGTTTGTCTACAGCTGAAATGCAATTTAAGAAACCAAGTGCACAGGGGGTACCAGCAAGGAGCAAACATGAAACAATAGCTGCAGTTAAAGGGTTCCTCTTAGAACAGTCCAGTATTTGGCTGAGAGCAACTGCCTATACCAGAAGCTTCAGAGGCGGGGGGATGCAAAGTTGGGGTGGGGGCCTCTGCTACCTTGGGTGGAGCTTCGTCGGACCCTCCAGAGTCCCAAGACACGGTGACCTGTCTTCTGGACTCCATCCTCAAGCGTTCTTCGTGCTGAGCCTTCTCCTCCTCCAGGATTGTGCTAGAGAGACAACACACGGGTTAAGGGAGCTGCTGGGAGCAGCGGCACACACCAGCCCCGCCCGCCTGTCTGGGAGCACCCTGGCTAACAGCAGATGACAATCAAGAGTGGGAAAGAGGATCAGGTTTCTGACTCTTCACAAAATGACTCAAGAATAGCTGAGTTCAAACTGCAAGCCCAGCTGCAGCCCAGCCACAGGTCAGAGGACAGCTGGGAAGAGAGGGAGAAGTTCCAGGAGATCAAAGACTCGTCCAGGCAGGATGTGTGTGAGCCAACATGTGTTTGGAGCAGAGCACAATTGCCCCGAGCACCCCAGCACCTCACCCAGCACAGACATGTCCCAGGACGGACTCCTCACAGGAACCCAACCCCACGCACAGAACTAGCACATTATGGGGACAAGTTAGCAATCTGGCCAATCACCTCCCGAAACGACCATGTTCCTACTAACTTTCAGCCTACCCAGTACTTCACCTCCTCAGAAAAATAAGGAAATAGATGACAGTATTTACAGTGCTTCTGGAAATACCAGCTGCTTTAAGCTGGAAGCTCATGGGTAGTAGCACCCTACTTACCACTGCTCGACTATTCAGGGGCTCGCTGCGTCCCACACCGTGCCGGCTCTGCGGCTTCCTGGTCTTGGCTGTCTGCCATCCAGAAACTACCCAGAAGGCCAGCAAGCCAGCCTTTGCTCCCTGCTCATTGCACTCAGATCCCTGGGCTCAACGGGCAGCAGGTCTCGGAATCTTACGTCCCCACGGTGGCAACTAACTCTTTCCTACAGGCCTGCAAGTCTGAGCTCTAAGAATGAAGCCGCCTGGTGGAGTGCCGTAAATACTAGCCCAGAATTACTCATCAGAGTGAGGTCAGCTACAACGCACCCGTTCTAATCTGGGAATGTGCTTGACTGTTTCAAACAGACATTCCTGCCTGACTGGAGGCCAGAACAAGCTGCTGCTCACACAGTCAAGCTCACCCAGCACAGGCTAAGTCAGGAAGCGACAGTCAATATTCACTTCATAAGCGTCTGAGTCAGCAAACCATCAGTGCAGATGGGGGGTTTTAACGCAAGGGAATGTTTCCTGTTTTAGTGAAAAAATTCCACCCCTCCTCAAAAAGCATTCTGGTTTTCTTCTTGTTCCACTTAGATAATCATGACTGAAAAAACACCACAAAACTTTAATACTTAAGAATTTAGTGTCACCCTCAAGGCTGTGAGGTACATGCCCTGCCAGCACTGTCGGGCAGCTGGGCCCCAGCAATTGTAACTCTTGGTAAGATGCTCTGTAAGCATCCGTTTGCTTGACTTTCCCTCTTACTAGGCTGATCCCACCCTCACTTGCCCAGATCACTGCAGATCCCGGGTCTGTATCACTCATGGCAACGAGCTGATGAGTAAAGCCACAATCAGTGAATTAGTCCTTGGACTTGTGGAGCAGAGCCTGGTACCCAGCTTCCTGTGCACTCAGAGGGAAGGACTGCAGGCTCCCCCTTTGAGAGGTCACAGGGCAAGGGTCCAGCCTGAGACACTGGTCCAGTAGGAGCCAGCCTTTGTTAAGAGTTTTCAGTGCTGACCCTCAAAATAAATAATAGACCCTGAATCAGAATTTCAAAAAACTAGTTTAAAACAACTTAAAAGTCCATAAAAAAATCAGGTAAAAAAAAAAAAAGTCTTTTCAACTTCTTCAAATAATGAAAATAAGACCATGTGTGACATACTCTTTAAGGCAATGGAACCTCCATTTTAAATAGGTCCTGTTGGGGCAACTTATTGCACGTGGGTTGGTGAATGGGCCACCTTGACCTCAAGGTCACCATGCCCCCAAAAACCTCCACAGGGGTCATGTGAAGTCCCGGGCCACAGACCGTCCCCAGCCCCCTCCACCTGAGCCTTCCACCAACTCACTTCCCTGTGGTCTCCAGCTCCTGAACTTACTGTCTGAATCCTGCCTGTCAGCCCTTTATCACCACCACCACCTCCACTCCTGCTCTGCTCTATGGGTTTAGATGGTGGGCTCCCCATGGTCGTCACTCTCATTGGCTGTGTGGCATCTGCATGACAGTCACTTTGATATTTCATCCACTGAATAGGCCAGTCTCATCCCTAAAGAACGCAGTGACAACCAGGGAGCGAGTTCCTTCAATCTCAGCACCCCATTCTCATACCAAAAATAACACGACAAGGCGCTTCTGAGAAACCGTAATTTGTTGCTAGGAGTGGTCAGGAATATAAATAACTCACAAAATGCCTGTTTTTACAATGGAAGATGATCCCATCGATGGAGCAAGGGTGCACGTGGAGACATTTCTGAACTCTGTACAGCTGCTGAAGAACCCAAAGCAACAGCTAAAATGTGCAGAGTGTCAGGAGGTCAGATTTAAACATATTTTCCCAAACGACAATATTTTTAGTAGGAATACATTCCACTGAAAGCTCTGAGCTGCCTAATGTGAACTGGCAATGAGCCCTCCTGGGATGGTGGTTTCTCAGTCTCAAACTTGCAAGTAGATGAAACAATAAAAGCTAAGACTTTCACTCAACAACCATTAGAATACAAGGTAACCATGTCTTTGTCCACGAGTCCCATCCAGGAAGAGAATCGAGAGGAGGGGGAGTACTTTATTTAATGTTAGTCTTATTTTCACTTCCCTAGCTTTAACAGAAGAAGTCATTAAAGAAACCAATTCAGAGTAAAAGGACATATAAAGTTCTAAGGGTTGCTCTGATGGTTTCTCTTGGTCTGCAGCACTCCCTGTGAAACCTGGTCTTACAGCCTTGGCAAGCAAGTATGGGGAGGTCTTATTAAATTTCCGTTCTGGAGCAACAAAACATGATTTCACTTCTAAGGTATTTTCGTGGAGAGAAAGAAAGTAGTCTAATAGGTTCCTCTTTTTCAGTACTGAGCTAACATACAAAAACAGATCCCCAGCACAGACAGGTTCACCAGGGAGGTGCCATCAGCCTGAGTGGGTGGTAGCAGTCAGGTTAACCCAGGACACAGCACAGCGAGGGGCTACCTTCTGCTGAGGTTATGACCACACCCAGTCTGCCCTGCTTCAACTTGTTTCCTCATTCATAAGTGAGAACACTGTCTGTCCTCTCCATTGCTCAGATGGAGAGACAAAGCATGTGAGGAAAACAGTAACACTCTTCAGTAAACGTGAGTTAGTTCTGTACTCTTATCTGCCTTGTAGACTACTAGGGAAAACATGAGTTTTTTCCTATTTAATTTCTGTAGTATTTTTCTTTTTACCCTCACCTGAGGATATTTTTCCATTGCTTTTTGAGAGAGAGTGGAATATGAGAGAGAGAGAGAGAGAGAGACAGAGAGAGACAGAGAGAGAGAGAGGAAGGGAGGCAGGGAGGGAGCGGGAGAGAAACATCGATGTGAGAGACACACACTGATTGGTTGCCTCCTGCATGCGCCCCCTGACCGGGGCCAGGGATCAAGCCTGCAACTGAGGTAGATGCCCTTGGCTGGAATCGAACCTTGGACCCTTCAGTCTGCAGGCCAACGCTCTAACCATGAGCCAAATAGGCTAGGGCTCATTTCTGTAGTATTTTTCCTGAGAGTAACTATACTACTATTCTTTAATTTGAAACTAAGAAAAAAATCCATTTCTTCTTTTAAATATAATTTGCTTGAATAACTTTTGTAAAGACTGGACTGTGATCATCTCAACATAATTTTATGGTGACATCATATTTGCTTTAGACATAAAAATCAGGTTGGATTCACAGCTACTTAGGCTAATCTGAAAAATATCCAGAGAAATAGCAGCAAGAAATTGGAAGGAAAAAAGCCAAAAGGGAAATGGCTTGTTTTGGCAAGTTCATGGGAATATCAGTTTTGAAACACGATCTCTTATAATTACCCAACACTGCCTCACCACAGAGGAATGGAATTGACCTTTTAACAACAGCAGCAAAACGCTGGTATCTTTGCAGAGAATGAGGCTGGAGACTTGAGCTGAAGCCAGGACGGCATGTTTGTAACTGGCTGACCTAGTGGTAAATGCTGCAGCCAGCGTGACAGCATCCGCCTCTGCTCTTCTCTTACAAACAGGCATAGCAGACTGGACATCTAGTTTCATGGAAACACCAAAACCGCTTTTCTTTCTTTACTTATTATGTATCTAACTAAGACTGCTGGAAATAATGCACTTTTGTTTGGTTGTGGTGTTACCCATCTCAAAATTTAAAAAGTGATTTCTACTAAAATCTTACTTTAAGATGGTGGCCTCTTTGTATTTCCGCCAAGTTCGCACAGATCCTATGTGACCAACCTCTTGCAGGTAGCAGCTTTGGACTACGGGCATAGACGTGGTTCTGTGGGAACAGGAGAGCCACCCTAAGTAGCCAATCTGGGGAGCTGACACCGGAGGAAGGCAATGGCACAGGGTGGGGCCACCAGTCAGAAGGCTCCAGTCTTACTGGTTTGAAGAACCAGATGACTGAGTTTGAGTCACCATAGGTGGTGGAAAGTTGGGAGGGGGGATCCCAGGAAGAAGAGAGCCAGGCAGAGGGTTTCTCAAATTCTGAGTATAAATTCTGCCCAAATCTCTAGATGACCTCAGAGCAATGCACTTATAAGGCAGGTTCCAAGTAGCCCAGCTAAGGCGAAGAGAACTGAATTAAAACATGATGCTGCCACAGCATGGAGAGAGTTTGCAATTTGAGACCAGCCAAGTTAACTATCTGTTAAAACCAACTAACTAACCATGCCAACCAATCAACCAACCAGCAAGCCAACCAGCCAACCAACCAACCAACTACTCTTTAGGGGAACACAACTGAACCCAGAGTCACAATGTCCAGGACAATCTAAAATTACTCAATATATAAAAACAAAACAAAACAAAAAAAACATGAAAATGTGATCCATTCTCTACAGAAAAAAAAAATCTAAAGGAGGCTGATTCCAAAGATGACTCAGAAGTTAGAATTAGCAGGCAAGGATTTTAAGGAGATACTATATTCAAGGACATAAAGAAAAAAA